AAGGAACCCTCCAATCTCCTGTCTACTAGGTTTAGCTCCGCCTGGCATCCCTGCAAGTCTGCAGCCTCCAGAATCTGACCTCTTCACACAAGATGTCTCCGGTTTCATTTGTGGTAAAGATGAGATGAGGCAGGGGTGGAATTTGGGGTCTAGCTACTCCTTCTATAAACTTACTTAAAAATTGTACAGTTTTCAATCCGACCATGCACGCTAGAGTCCTGGGTCTTTCCCAAGTTCTGGAGCACTCACCAGTTTGCTTCCAATTAAATTCTCCAGATGCAGGTACTTAGCTTTCTGTTTTCCTTCTTCTAAAAAGCTGCTGACATCTCGTGTGCTGTTGATTTCTCATTCTTTTTGTCCTTGTCCTTTGCACCTTCTCTAGCCTCTATAGTCATTTCAATGGCTTTCATGAGAGAGTGGAGGATAAATCAAGGGTTCACTCTGCCAAGCTAACAGAAGCGCCTCCTTTGTTACCTGTAGGCATCTTCAAAGGATCAGATACAGGCTTTCTTTTCTCTTTATCCTCCAAATCTTCCTGCACTTGTATTCTGAGCTCCATATCTATATTTGCAAATGCCTTTTGGGAACATATGTCAAAAGTAACTCATTATCCTTTCTGAAAATCTATTTCTTCTTGCAACTTGGTGTCAGAATCCTTACAGTTACCCACACTGAAAACTGAAATGTTATCTCTTACTCTTCCATCTTTCTGAACCTCCCTATGTCTGTGAGATACTAGCACTTGTCAATTATTCCCTCTAGAGTGCTTGTATCTCTTCCTTTGTATTTCACTGTCTGCCTTATAGCTATTTCTCGAATACTAATTCATCCTACTCTACCCTTTGCCTTCAAGTCTGGTTTAAATGCCACCACTTCCATGAAGTCTTCCTTTATGCTTTCTACATAAAGTAAACTCTTCCTCCTCTGAAGACTGCTCACTTTATTAATATTTCTCTTATACACTTAACTATATTTAAGATTTTTTGCCAATCTGCATGTTTTATTTCCTCTGTAGAATGTAAGAGTTTTAAGGAAAGAGGCTTTGAAGGAATCTATCTCAGACCTTACTCATTACATAGTTTTTATTACACCATCAGTATGAATGCTACAGAAATGAACATACTGGTAACTACCGAAGGAAACAAAAGCAACAGAGGACACAGCATCTTACCTTCTGGAGAAAAATTTCTAGCTGTAGCTATAGTCCAAGTATATGTAAAAGGTAAACTAGCCCTCTACTAGGTCAAGAACACAGGATTTTACATCTAACTCTGCCACTGCCAAGCCAATCAGTTGCCATCTCTGGTAGCTAAAACACATGGATTACTGCCCTTTAATGAATGGATAATAAATATGAACCACTTGATAGAATATACAGTCTTCAGTTAACAGTTACTCAGTTTCTGACAAAAGCCTGTTGAAATTAATTGGTATTTGAGAAAAATCTATGAAGTCATACTAATCTTCATTCTCCTATAGAGGTTTAAGCTCTATCTTAATAGTAAGAAAAATATAAACCTACAAGTACATTAGTCTTCACAAAAATGTCTTGATTCAAATGCATTCTATATTATGCCATCAGCTTTGATAAAGAATAAGCCACATGAAGAGTTCTGTCTTCTACAAACGTCACTGTTGGAAGATATCTGTCATTATGTACTAGGTTGAATCATATAAAACTGCCAGGATTCCACTGTTTTGTTTTGTTTTTACTTTTAAAAAGGGCATTTTTATGTTGTTCATCTAATAGCTCAGTATTTAATAAAAAGCTATCAAATCAGGTCATCTTAAAATTTGGCAGTAAGAAAAAATCTGTCTCATCTGTCAAAGTCATACATTCTCCCAACTCACAAAGATGAAAATGACACTGAGCAAGATGCTTCCTTTTTGCTACCAGGAGGCTCAGTGGTTACGCAGTACTCAACTGTGATAATTTTATAGCCTAGACTTTGTCATAATTACCTGAATGATTGTTCTTGTCTTACCCTTTTCACTTTAATTTGTCCAAAAATGTGTATGTGTTTTTCTGAAAGTGAGTATTGTGGCAATTACATATATATGTATATGTAACTGGTTACCTAGAGTGCTGTGCTGAGACGGATTCTTCCTGAACTTGGCAGTGGAATGTACCAAGGTCAGCTGGTAATATTCCATACACATACTGGAATAGAGAGGCAGCATGCCACATATTTGCAGCCCAATCCCATGTACTAATTGAGACACTGAAGAGGAATTTGAGAATTATGAAAGCCAATCTGCAAGAGGTAAGATCTGAGCTCAATCTAGAAATAAGAGAGGGGCACTAATTGATAGAAATGGTAAAGGCCTTCCCATCAAAGCCAATAAAATACAAACTAGACAATGGAATGCAAAGGAATATATACGTATGTGTATATATATATATGGCTACAAGTTAGGTTGATTTAAGGATAGAATCTATAGTAAAAGAAATGAAAAATGAAGCTAGAGATGAAGGAATCACTGTAGCATTTGAGGAGGAGAGTGACACGAAGAAAATGGGTTACATATGTTGAAAATCAAGTAATTTCTTTTTAAGACTGGAAGAAGCCTCAAAATAAGCATTTTACCCCTATTACAATAACAGTTCATTGAGCAAGATGCTAGTAACACTGAGGCAAAGACTGTTGATGAAAGAACACTAACCCAGTTTGAGTTAGCACTCCACAGATCACTTATCACTTACAAAAAGAGAAAAGATTCTTTATATGACCTTCTAATCAAATCTAACCTTATGACCAAACTTAGAAGCACCAATAACGGCTAACCTGCTATCATGTGTCTCTTCATAGGATGCAATATGCACACATCATATATATAATATTCATGCCAAAAACATGTTAACCCAAATCTGATCAAGAGAAAACAATCATAACTATCTAAACTGAGGGACATTCTCCAGAGCAACTAGCTTGAATACTTATGTCAAGGTCATAAAAGACAGAAGCCAAACAGAACTTTGCTCCAAGTTAAAGAAAACTAAAAGATGTGACAATCAAATGCAACAAATGATCCTTTACTGGATCCTGGACTGGGGTTAAAAATAAATAGTTGTAGAGGTGCGTTGGTGGCTCAGTCAGTTAAATGTCCAACTCTTGATTGGTGGCTCAGTCAGTTAAATGTCCAACTCTTGATTTTGGCTCAGGTCATGATCTCACAAGCTGTTAGCACAGAACCTGCTTGGGATTCTCTCTCTCCCTCTCTCTCTGCCCCTCCCCCACTCTCACACATGCTCTTTCTCAAAGTAAATAAATAAACTTTAATAAAGACAAATAAATAGCTGTGAGTACATTATCAGAACAACTGAGAAATCTGAAAATGGACCACATTATCACACAGCAGTGTTGTATGAATGTTAAGGTTCACACATGTGGTAATCATACTGCGATGACGCAGAATCGTTCCCTTTTCTGGCAAACTCTTGTGTTAGGTAAGTATCAGAATGCTGGAGAGGAACTCTCAAATTACACTGCAAATAAATTAATTTTCAAAAATAAATAGAACCGTGAATGTGTATATGGACACATTCATACACGGGGGCAGAGGAATATGGCAAAAATTCCCAACAGGTAAATCTAGGTAAAGGACACATGAGTAGTCACTGTGCCATCCTTACAATTCTCCTGGTCTAAACAATAAATAATAAGAGGTCTTAAAGAATCTGAGCTAAATTCCGCAGTTTATGGATATGAAAACTGAAAGCAAGGAAATTTTATTGTGACACGCTCTGCAGCTTACAGCAAATGTGTTAACTCCAGCTGCCATGGTTCCACCTTCCCACCCAGTGCGCTCTTTCACACGGTCCCAGCCTAACCACGGAGGGTAGATCCAACACAGAGCCACCAGAGGCCGGGGACTAGCTATGGAAGAGACGTTCTAAACCATCAGCAGCAATAAGGGTTTGGGTTACAATCAGTCACAGGTATGGAAAGGAGGGGGCAAAATAAAGAAACGATGTAACAGGAATCATAAAGCCTTAATGATATATTAGAGAACAAAGAAGTAACTTCATAATGTATATGCTGAAAAGATGGGAAAATAAAGAGTACTGGGATAATAAAGGAAAACCCGGAAGAAGATGGCCACTTGAGATAAGAAACAGTCAGAGACGGGTACGTTTCAATTATAATGTCCCCATTCAAGAGCTCGTAGACTAGAGTGCACAATCCAGGAGGCCAGGGACTTTTGTCCTTTCTGGCTACTGATACATCCACAATTAATCTGAACAATGCCTGGAAACAAACTTGTTTTTGAACAATGAAGTGACAGCCTACGAGGCACTCAGGTACAGACAGACAGGAGACAGAAAGAGGAAATTTAAGACAGGGTATCAAAAGAGATTTACTTGTAGATCCTTAGGGAAGTGGACACATTTAAGGTCTCCACCTTCTCCCAGGTCAGTTTATAGAGCGCTGCCTGGAGTTCTGAGTCCAAGCCCAAATAACAGTGCTCTTTCGTTCCCATTGTTCCTTTTATGTGCATCTTTACAGGAACCCTTACAGAGAGGAGGGATGACTGTGATCATAGGGCCTCTAGTACCATCAAAACTCCATGATTATTCTTAACAGATTTCATTGGCGGGAGCAGGGAGTCCAGGTGCGGTCCCAGGGCGCAGGACCAGCAGGAGCTGGGAGTTGGACAGAAATGCAGATTCTTAGGTTCTGCGCGAGATCTCCCAAACCAGCAACTGTGCAGTGCTGGCCCAGTTACTTAGGGTTTCAGGAGTCTTCTGGGCGATTCTACTGCTCCTCACAGAGCCCAGGACAAAACGGAGGTACTAAACTCTTATTGGACAAAATATCTACCTCAGAGTTTAAGTCATTCTTCTTGAGATGCAGCTAAAAATCTAAGCCCCAATTCCATAAAAAGACATTGGTAATAAAGTCTGGCGTCACAGACCACCAGCCATAATTCCCCCCGCAGTGACCATGCGGTGACACCTGCCAACAATAAAGAGAGAATGTGGAGAGGCATCTACTCACTTCAGCGTCTCCGCGAGAAAGAAGCTCTGCTGTACGTCGTCGTGGGTCGGCGTCGAGGAGTACACGTCCTTCACCCCGGAGAACCCGCCACTCACGCGGCAATACTTCTCAATAGCCTGGGGAAGAGACCAGACCAGGGAATCGATTCCACGGAACTAAGTTTTGAGGACAAGTGAAGGAACCACAGTCAAAGGTTCACAAAGATCTATGTGAGAATCTGACAGGTTAAGAATAAGGTTTATTGCTGAATGGAAATACTCTCGCGATGGAAAATTTAACGGAAGTATATGTTTCCTGTGGAACTTCTCCCTCTCCAAAACTCTTTAATCTTTTAAAAACACCTTATTATTTTCGTAACTGAGGAAAGTCAAAATTTAGGCTATTCACACTGAATTAGAGACCTGTCTGATTGCATATAAAAACCTCATTTATTCTAACAAATCAAGGTTGGTTGGTTTGAATTAAAAACTTTGAAGGAAACTTTTTCACTTCTAAGGATAAAGAGCCCAAAACATGCTTTAAGAGAGAGCTGTGCTCTCCACAGTAATAAGCGATGCGGTGGTACCGACTGCAGACATACTATGTGACAGACACTGAATTATAACCCTAGGAGTTAGGCATTACAGATGCTACCAAGTGGCAGGAAGTAGACGCCCACATGCCTATTACAGTAATAATTACAATTTTAAGAGCTAACCATGAGGAAATATTTGCTACACGCCAAGGTTCTTCGAAGAGCTTCACATGTATTAACACTGAAATCTCCAGCAACCCATGAGGTTGTTGTAGTCGGCTCCACTAGATGGGAAAACTGAGGCAAAGAGTGAGTTGCTTCACTGTTTATTGTTAACCACTGTGCTTTATTGTCCAACTCAGAGCCGAAACTCTTAATTTCTCTCTCTTCTTGCATCTTTTGAACATGTCTAAATAAAATATACTCAATCACATGGAATCCATTCAAAACCCTGTTTTTCTTAAAGTTTATGTTGAGAGGGGGAAACCCCATTCAAAACCCTGTTTTCTTAACAAGTTTATTTATTTTGAGAGAGCAAGCGAGAGAGCACACACAAGTGTGAGGAGGGGGGCAGAGAGAGAGGGGGAGAGAGAGAATCCAAGTAGGCTCTGTGCCGTCACAGGACTCGATCTTACGAACCGTGAGATCATGACCTGAGCCGAAATCAAGAGTCAGACGCTTAACCGACTGAGCCCCCCTGGACACCCCTCAAAACCCTGTCTTTAATCTAAAGCAACCAAATATCCTGCTTATGCAGGTGTGCATCATACTCTGAAATTAAGCCATTCATGAGAAACTGGATTATACATGGTTTTCTTTCTCTAACTAACCCTGAGATCTAACTAACCCTGAGATACTGTCTAATGAAGGTAAAGTTACTTAATCATTACTGCCGTGGCTTTTTTTCCCTAGTTTTACTAATTTTTTTTTCTTCTTCTGGTCTTCCTCCTTTCTGATGAAAAGCTAATTAACACTGAAAGTCTTTATTTAATCAAGCTGTTCATTTTTATACAATTCCATTTTGATGATAGCTGGGTTTTAAAAGTCTTCTTATGGAGGAGTTCGGCGCTCTCCTCCATCTAAATATTTTAAACGTACTTTCAATTCAAGAGTTTTTAGATGCAACGTTCTGCGCCACAGTCATGTATCTTTACCACCAGAAAGCTATCAGAGCAGTTTAGGGAACCTGAGAAAGTAGCAGGGAGGGAGGACTCATCTTGAAGCCATTTAGAGTCACTTCTTGAAGGCAAGTTTTCATGCAACTATATTCAAGTTTGGAAGCTTGAAGATGTGAGTGGAATAGCTAAAGTTACAGAGGATACCATTCTTTGGTCTCTCGGCCTGTCTTCCCTTGACCTTCTTCACACCCAGCAGGGTGGCCAGTGACAGGGAAGCAACTTCCATTTAAGATGTGATTCCCTCCTCTTTTGTCTTTGTCTGTCCCCCTTTTCCTCATCATGGCATACTTCTGAAACTTGAATTTAAAGTGTAATTATTTCAGTTCTTGTTCTCTGTTTTTGGAGTATGTGTGTCTACCTAGACTATAAAAACAAAATTCTACTCCTATAAATCAAGCCAGATTTGGGTTAAAGCCTGAGCTCATGGAACCTCTTCTTAACAGAAAGAGTAGGGCCGTAGTTAGGAAGGTGCACAGGAATAGAGGCCCTTAGGGAAAGGAGAGGTTATTCTACAGGGTTTCTCACTGAGCGGACATGTTTCTTCCACCTGCCCCCGCTCCCCACCCCATTACTGCCCCATGATTCAGACAGATCTTTCTTTTTCCTCTGAATAAGCATCATTAAACATTAGGAGACATTCAAGTCAGACTTACTGCAGGGTTACTTTACTTATTTCTTGTACAAAAAATATTGCTTACTGTACATAAGTGTTAGTAAGCCATTGCTATCAACACAAGTGTGTGTGTGGGTGTGTCCTAGTCTTGAACCACTGTGGCAGCAGTGTGGTTGTCTTCCCAACTGTGGCGGGACTCCATACAGAGAATTCCACTAGCAATTACGTTCCCAACTCTGGAACCAAGAGGCCAGAGAAAAGCAGCATCAACAAATGTGGCATCACTTCCTGTTCGACATAACCACCTTGTCTCCATTAATATCCTTTTCGTTAAGCTCCACAAGGACTATCCAGGTGTGAAGGACAAATGACGCAGGTGCTCTCACTGTGGTTCAAGTCATTATCACACTGTTCCTCGAGCACCGGCCACGGTCTCCCAAATCCAGCCATTCGCAGCTTGTAATCAGAGCCTTTGCCTGGTTACTTCCCACTAAAAAGCCTTCAGTGGCCCCCTTCCCTTTGAAAAACGTTCAACAGTCCCAGAACAGACCCTTCCAGCCAGTCAGTCTTGGTAGGCAGGGCCTGGTGAGGAAAACCCAGATCTGGCAGGCTGGTTCGACAGTCAGAGGACTTCCTACCTCCACCTCCTGTGTGAGGAATGCTTATGCAGTAACTGGGAGAGGGGTCTGTTTGGGAGTGCATGTGTGGGTGTTCTTCCTGAAGAAAGTACACGTCCCTCCATCTGGCCTGTAGGGCCGTCTATGCAATGGCTCCAAACCTCACTCCCTCTGGTGGCCGCTGCGAAACCTTCTTTTCACATAAACTGGCCTACATTCTGCCCTAAAACCTACCTTGCACATTCTTACCCAAGCAAGTTGCTAACGCTATTTCTCTCACCTACAATGTCATAGGCGAGGCTGCGTATTCATCATAATTAGTGCTATTTATCCTAATTAGTATAGCTCAGACAATAAACCCTCCTTCACTCCTGGGATAAACTACACTTTCATGAGAAGACTAATATTTTTTTTCTTTCTCTCCAGGTACTGATAGCCACAGTGTTCTCTGAAAGGCTAGTATTTTTTAAGAATAAACCACTTGCTTCCTTTACTTACTAACCATTAAAATTTCCTCCTGAATAAATGGACTTTCAACCTAGAAAAATTTTAACAACTCCCCAATTCTTCATTTGGTGGTCCACTACAGAAAGTACTTGGAACACAAGCTGACATGAACAGAGGGCCATCTACCCAGGCTGAGAGTCTGGGCAGTTTTACGATGATATTTTTTTCCCCCAGAGGTTAAGCATTAATTGGCAAGTATAGAAACTACACAATCATACTGAAACCCATAATGTCTTTCAAATGACATTTTATAGTTATTCAAGAAGAGTAATAGTGAACACCAGGAGCAAAATCGATTTAATCAGGAACTGAACTGGATTCTAAGGTTCACTTCTACTGCTTAAGAAACTTCGAAATCGAGCAACAGACTGTTTCCAGCACATAAGTGACAGTCACACTACAGCTACTGAACACGAGGTGACACGGACAGCACGATGGGAAAGCCCGACTTAACGCTCCAGCACGTGAAATGAAAATTGGCGTATTTACCAGTGCTGCTTCCCAGCCCCACTGCCTGTATCTTGGATCGTGCGTGAATCGCCATAGATACCAATAGGTTTCAATTACTTCTGGACGGAGGATGTAATACTTTTCAGCCTGCCGGACCGCCACAGCCTCTACCGCACCGTCAAACTTGAATGACTCAGGACCCAGCTTTAATGCTGTAACGTGACAAAAGAGAGAAATGAGCACAATAAACCATTGGTGTTTGTTCGCCAGGGATTCTTTCTCCCCTGAAAACACGGGGTATAATGTACAGTTATTTTCATTCTGCTTTATTTTTATTCTTGCTGTTTGGCAAAATCGGTGACTTTAAAAGTTCCACATTTGGTTTTCTTAGAATAGACTTAGAAATATTCCTATTATCCTGACACGAAGTATTTCTCATACAGAACGTTCATCGGCATACTGCTAAATCTAACTATTCTGACAGAAGCCCAGTAATCCTCTGGAAAGAAATTCGAGGCTAGACATAAGCACATTACATAATCTGTTTTGTTGCAAAATAAAATGAGACGGATAACTGCACTGTGCAGAACTATTTTTTTAAAAGTCAAGACAATTTAAAAATCCTTTTAATATAACACACATATAAGAAAGCATTGTAGAGCTCAGATCTTGAATTAGACTTAGATGCAGGTTACATACTCTTCTTTTTCAAGTATCCAATAGTACACAAAGTGCAATGTATTTTAAAACTTAAACCAGTTTTAAAAATAAACTCTTTTATCCTATAACCTCTGTATATATAGCAAGAAAGAGATTCAAATTGCTAATCACCAAGAATTTCATCAGTGGTGCTCATATTTCAGTTCAAATAAAATAGGGCCATTACGCATATATCTCAACACTACATACTATTCTGTGAATGATATGAGTTCCATTCGGGCTGGAATACAGCACTACATGGAAGCCTTTTTCATAGCCTCTTTCAAATCTCACCTAGCACCTAACTGGCCAATATAACACCATCTTCCGTTGGGATCTTGGAGTCACACACAGTTACCACTCTCAGCTGTCATTCTTCTTTCCCTTTATTGGTGGCAAACAGTTTCAAGGTCTCTCGTCTCTTTCAAACAATGCTGGACATGTTTACACTTTCTCAGAAGAGTACAGGTAAAAGAAGAATGATAATGCTGGCGGACCATGAACAGAATCATGCTACAGCTGCTGTCCTGACACGTGTCACTGTGGCAAGATCTCAGCATTACAAGGGAGACGACATAAGCTCTAAATAATCACATACAAACGTGAAAAAAAATAAGGTCTTTCTCACCACCCACCACTCCCAAGAGAAAACACAAAACTGAAAAACACTGTACCAATGGTAGATAACTGTACTGAAAGCAAAACATGTGATCCAGAAGAATGTACTGCTATGTCTTAGAGAACTAAAGTAGAACTCGAGCACAGGACTTCAGCCTGAGGGTCAGGAGCTCTATGTCTGGCTGGCTCTGAGAGAAGAAGACAGCATGGTCTCTGAGAAGCCTCTGAAGTTGCAAACCTTTGTGTGTGTGCAAATAAAGCTTTGACCAGCTCCTCAGTGGGATCTGAGATTAGGATTAACCACCAAATCATCAATATTTTTTGTCAGAGAACTTCTATCCAGCTATTGACAAGGTCAGCATATGATCAAATGTGATTTGGCATTTTAATAAATGCTTTTAAAATGACTATAAAAGTCAAACATCCTAAGCACTGGAATGATGCCAATCTAATAAAAAAGTACCGGAAGTCATTTGATCTGAAATTCTTAGGTCTTTCCTTTCCCAAAGACTGGGTGCTAAGAACTGATCATATGGAATTTTTAAATGTTAATCTTAAGGGTAACTTTAAATTAGATAACTTCTGTAAGGAGAATATCGCCTGAATTTGAGGTAGAAACTGGCTGTACGGACTAATATTTTTAACTTCTCACTAAAAATTATGTCTCAATTATTGGTCACTCATAACTTCATGAATAAAACACGCCAGAAAGATAACATACCTGTTTTGTGAGGGTTGGTAAGTAAAAATATATAAGCCTAAATCATATACATATTACATCCATCAGGCTGATCAAATCACTGTTTTTCATGTTTCTAGGGTCATTTCTTAGGTGCTCTTTTGTTTACGAAATGCAAAAGATAATTTCCTAACAATCTGTCTTGTGTTTAATTTCTATTTTCTACCTTAAATTTCCCATTTATATTTGATATTTCATTTCTGATAAAAAATGGAGTTGAAACCATAAATAATTAAGTACCTGGGTACAAAAAGAACTCTAAGAGGGTGCAAAAATCATCTAATGTAGGCAAAGGAAAGAGACCAGCACAAAAATTTTTAAAAAATGGAAGTAAAATATCAAATGTGACAAAGGTCAATAGTGAGACAATATAAAGTACATTTAAAGAAGGCATAGATTAGTTTGCAAGTCATACGATTTTTCCAGATATGTAGAATCCATAGAGATCTTGGGAAAAATAAGCATATTCAGGTCAACCAAAGATAAAAAAGCATGAGGAATATTCTGGGACAGGCAATTTGACTATAGTTTGAGAAGGTTAATAATAAGGGAAGAACTTAAACTATTTCCCTCCATTAATTTCCTTTTAAGGAAAAGAATAGTTGGAGAAACTCTTAAAGTATGTCTAAAACTCCATGTCCAGTGGGTTTCTTTTCCACCGGATATGTTAGATGTATCTAAACATTAAAATTTCTCCCCAAACGAGACAGTACATGATCTAGGGAACACCTTACTCAACCTCCATAAGAAGTTAAATAATAGTCATTTTATTGATGTTCAATAATTTTTTTTAAAATCTAGAAACCTAGATAAAGAAAGAATAGTATGATATTTTGGAAGTCTACCATCTTATTTGGCACCAATTCTGCATTATACCTCAGAATAAGCTGTAACAATGTCAGCTTCTGTGGAGATACAATAATGTCTGCAACCACGCTAAGCAGCACTCAGTTTCCTGTACAGACTGAGCAAGGCTTCCTACAAACCTGTCTAAATTATTAGGCGGCTATGCTCATCAACAAGACAGAATACGCGATTACCAAACTCTGGATTAACGTTAATTCTAATTCCAACCAACAAATGAAAGTGAAATTCCAAAGTAATTATTGTATGAATGTAGCTGAAATACCTACTAAGAAGTGAACAGGTATTTTTAAACAAGGTGGCCAAAAATTATAGCACAGTTATGGCAAAACACAGAAGGAAGATATAATAACCAAGTGGGAAGGAAGCAACACTAGAACTGTACCTTTTAACTGAAGGATCTAACCTGAGATTAAAGATAAGTAAAAACTGTAAAAGACCTGGAAATACAGGACACAAACAAAGAGTAATCTTTCTGGGCATACCATGGCAAAGAGGGTCACAGGGTCCCTGACTCGCAACATGAGAATGACAATCAGAACAAGGGACAGCAACGACCGGAGACTGGATTGCTTAAAATCTCTAATCTCACAAGAACATTCTGAGGAAGACAGGACAGGTGTTATTATCCCCATTTTTTGCAGATGGAGCACCTGAGACTTGGGCAGGTTAAAATACCTGCCTAACTAAGGTTCATAGATAATAAACAGCAGCACATGGGACTTTTGAATGCTAGGCCACATTTTCTCTCTAGGATATCACATTATTTCAAATCAGCACCAGCAATGTTATTACAAAATTGACACAATCTGGTGTTCTATGGATTTATCAAAGGCAAGGGATAGTCTTACTCACAATTCTACCTGTAAGCACCTAGCATAATGCCTAGCACATAATAGGAGCACCATGTTTAATGGAGTGAGTGATTAATAATTATAGCACATCACATTTTTTACATTTGCTGTATGAAATCCTACTATTTTATATCTATTATTTGATTTGTGGTCAAAATCTGCAAAACAAGTCTTATTATCATGGGTCTTGGTACAGACACTGAATATCCACAGTGGTCCTCAATGTTTTACTAATTTCAGCTGTATTTTAGATATATATTTGATACGCTGTATCATTAACACAGTATAATTTAGCTTCTATTTATAACCTGGATCACCAACTTTCTATGTACTACATACCAACACTAAAGCAACCTTAAAATAACTTCTACTTCAATATCCTTTTGACTTAGTTGTATTTTGTCAAGAAATGGAATCCTTGACTTAGTGAGGGAACTGAATGGTCAATTTCACCATTAAGTTCAATTCCTCATTATATAGAAACAACCTGATAGACTTATAAACTAAAATAAAACTAGGATAAATTTTAAGCCAGTCATATCTGCGTCATGGTACCTGATGGCACAGTAACCTTAAAATGGAAATTCAGATATTTAATAAAAGCAATTCAATTTTTGAAATCACAAATAGAAATTACTAGTTTTTACTTTTTCTGGGAACTCATTATCCATTATTTCATATAGAAACACATTTTTAAAACCAGAAAAAAATTCTGGAAGGTCTACTTCAGTATTTCTCAATCCTTTTTCAGACTTTTTAAAAAAAACCTAATTGTTGGGGCGCCTGGGTGGCTCAGTCAGTTAAACGTCTGACTTTGGTTCAGGTCATGATCTCATGGCTTATGGATTCGAGCCCCACATCGGGCTCTGTGCTGACAACTCAGAGCCTGGAGCCTGCTTTGGATTCTGTGTCTCCCTCTCTCTGGCCCTCCCCTGCTCTCTCTCTCTCAAAAATAAACATTAAAAACAATTTTTAATGAAAAAATAAATAACCTAATTGCCTTCTCTCTCCATGAAATTTTAATAAATATACACTGTTTATCTACCTATGACTGTATGTATATATCTATTCTTTACCAAAAAATAGTTGTTGTTGTTTTTTTTTACCCCCAAGAACGAATTTTTTTCACCACTGAGAATCAACTCGTTTTTCAGGTAAGGACACTGAAGCCCCAAAATATTACATATTTGCCTAAAGCAACACAGAGGATCTTTTTAGTTAAAGGCACAATCAACTCAAAAACTACTGGTGAATTGACTAAGACACTACTAGTTACCTAGATATCAATTTTACATTCAAATAACCACTATTATCTTTTGGTTATCCTTATTTTCACAAGAGAACAGACAAGCCAGTAACTAAATCAGGGTTTGTGTTTCTGAAATAACCTGTCTTACAGAAGCTGAAATGATGGCTAAAATGGATTCCTACTATACTACATAATGTCATCCCATTCATCCCCTCCGGCCCTGCTTCTTGTTAGTAAAACAATTTCTTCAAAATCTTTTTTAAGAATTCAGAAGAGTTTGAGAAAATGATGCAGGAATACATTTTCAGAATTAAAATTCAAGGTCTTAAGAAAACGATTTACTGTGTTAGAGTAACCTATTTTAAAGTGAAAAATGCCCATATATTCCCCTTCTAATTCCTGGACACACTTTTAACTTAGAGGTTATTTTAGTCTAAGTAGTTAGTGTTATTAATAGTCTTACCGGTTCTATCATAGGACTCATGACATGTACGTGCGATCTCTGCCCCCAGCTCTAAGTAATGACCAGCTCTGTCCATTCTGGAACCATCTGCTCCTAGTGCAAACATTCCCCCAGCAAAACAGGCCAGATGCCCCATCTTCTTTTCCAAGTGCCCATTTTTCCACTCTCCAATAAAGGTGAGACCTCCTCGGGACTTCTTAATTAGATGTTTCTCTATAGCCTACAGAAAAGAGTAGAAGTTTAAAATTTTAGAAGCAAAGTGTTAGTGTGCAAACTTACTACATCCTTCCACTTATCATAAAACCTTGGGGAGATGATATTCTACAAACTGTTAACTCTCCCAAACCAGAAGAGTTAATTTACAGTATGAGCGTTTTTTTTGGAGAGTAAAGAAGCTGCACATAACCTTGAACGAATAACAAACACAAGGTGGAAGAGGGAAGACTGGCCTCAAGACGACCTTTTGACACACCACCTGTATTACAGGTTTTTTCTTCTTGAGCTAAATGGAATTCATAATAATCGACTGAGATCACGAATAGAAATAAATTAATATAGTTACATGACAGGTCATAACCCAAAAGACTACCAATTTATTTTCTATTTCATACAATAAAACTGAAGAGGAAGAATATCTAAATTAATCTAAAAATATGATTTTGATAGTTAAAATGGTTTCTCCTCTTCCATGTAACTATACCTCTTGTCAAAGTACTTTAAGAAGGCACTATTAGGTGCGGCATAAGTTATAAAGCTTACAAAACTAGTTAAAGGTTCAGACTTAATTCCTCAGCCCCTTACTTTGCAAACTCAGGCACTGATTTTGGGTGTTGCGCCATGGCTATGAGAGGCCAAGCAACAAACACAGTCCATCCTCCTGGAATGTTGATTTACTCAACAGATGTAGGGAAGGCAAGAGAAATATTTTATATTAAATTTGAATGTAACACAAAGTAGAGCCCAACAATCACATTTAATTTTAAAAATGAGATTTTTGGGGGCATCTGGGTACTTTAGTCAGTTGGGTATCCGGCTTCAGCTCAATCAGGTCATGATCTCACGGTTCGTGGGTTCGAGCCCCACGTTGGACTCTGTGCTCACAGCTCAGAGCCTGGGGCCTGCTCTGGATTTTGTGTGTGTGTGTCTCTCTGCCCCTTCCCTGCTCGCTGTCTCACTCTCCCTCTTTCTCTCAAAAATAAATAAACATTTAAAAAAATGAGATTTTTAAGAGATTTTCTTCCCTTTGGACTATGTTCTCAGGCTTTGCCGAGAGGGGGTATTAATTAATTCTCTACCTTTAGAGATACTTCTATGGAAAAGTATAAGATATTTCATTAATTCAGTTCTCTTTGGTGAAAAGGTAAAAAGGATCACATATGTTCAGACTACACTTTTCTAACAATAAAGAGAATATAAGAATTAACACACACGTTTGTGGACTGCTCTCTGACAAGTTCAATAACAGCTTTGGAAAAACTTTATTCTGTATTCTTCATAATGATGATGTTTGTTTCAGAACTTTAAGAACTTATTTGTCATGTTATGCCCCACAAGACTTATAAAGTGTAGCATATAGTCAATAAATGTTTGATTTACAAGTTTTTATTGTTCTTTTAACCACAGTAGGCTGAAGCACAAACGAAAAGATTAGTTTTTCGAATGCACGGGCAGTGTTTTTCATCTTTGTGGGCCTCATGGCATCTAGCGCGTTTTCTACACGTCAGGCACTCAATAAATCCCTACTCGAGAAACATTTACTGACTGCCCACAATGGAAGGAACACTATATGCCAAGTATTAGCCAACTCCTCTGCATTAAACAAGTACAGGAAATAAGTTCCCTAAAAAGTAAGGATATAAAAAGGATAAGATTTTTGCTTTACTTTCAAAACAAAACAACTATAACTCTGAATACTGAACATCAACTACAGTCAGAATGGTGTTAGTATATATGAAATATATATGCAATCAACAAGGCCTAAATGGGTTTCTCTGAAAATCACAAACAGCTTTGATGGAAAAAAAAAAAAAATGGAGAGAAAACAAAACTGAAGAAAATGAGGGATGAGGGGAGAAGAGGGTGGGAGGGTGGGCAAAATGGGAGAAGAACTTCGAGTCAGATGCAGGCTTCCAGCCGTGGAGTGAGTGAGTCACAGGGACAATAGGACTGTATGGTGACAGGTGGTCACTACCCTTATGGTGAGGAGAGCATTATGTACACACTTGACAAAGCTCTATGTCTTATACCTGAAACTAAGGTAACACTATGTGTCAACAGTACTTCAATAAAAATAAATGAGTAACAAATTAATACATATGTGTGTAACTTTAAAAATTGATTAAAATCACTGAAGGGCTATGGGGTTACAGTGGATCAGAAAGCAAGTAACTTAAGTGGGTACACACACTTCTCTATTTCACAGTTTTTGCCTGGTAGTATCGCATAGAAGTGCCTCCAAGGTGGAAACCTGTTCCAATTCTAAACTGCCACGACACTGTGGTGGAAGGTTATGTGGTAAAAGGTTATGTAAATATGAAACAGTAAAGTGGTTAAAGCGCAGGCCCCAGAGCCAGACTGTTCAGTTCCAGGCTCCATCACATACTAGATATGGGAGCGGCAGCAATCATTTAACCTCTTTGTGCTGCAAGGTCCTCATGTGTGAAATGACAGTAAAGATTATTTGATTTCCTATACATTAAAGGGGTTACAATAGCACCTGGCACTTGGAAAGTACTAGATAAGTGTTTTGCCCTTATTATTTACCCATGAGGCTTTCCATGAACAGGTTCAATGTCATTTGAAAGAAGAAAAGTTTATGGAAATGTATATGTGACATCAGAAGTTTTTCTGGTCTGGGTAGACAATAACTAAATATAATTAAAACAAATTTTCATACATAAATATGTGACACTAAGTTCTTCAATAATTTCTTTAATGAATCATGGGAATCTAGTCCCGAAAACAAGAGTACACTGTATCCACTGCATGTTAGCTAACTTGACAATAAATTATATTTAGAAGAAAAAAATAATGAAATAAAATGCCCTGATAAATGAAACAACAGAAGACTTTTATAATAAAATTCTAAAACTCTACAGTGAGGGCAGATAATAAATGCATATAGGTGTTCACTGGTCACTATGAAACACACCATATATTCAGAATGGTAGGCAGGTAAATGTTCTGGTGAGAATTACCTCAATAGCATCATCGTACATTTTTCTTGCCTCGTGGTCTGTCTTATCTGACATCAACCATGCTTTCAGTAAGTATTCATAAAAACTGTCTCCCAGCCCGCCAACTGACGTATGATCTATAACGGAAGGAAATGAGAGGATGGAGGTGGAGGAGAGAGAAGACAGAAGACAATTCAATAATCTTTTTCAATTATAGTGACTATTATTGGTCAATCATTTAAAAATTATATCAACAGCCTCACTTCCAGCCTACTTCAAATTTAGTGGAGTAAAAGTATACTCTCATCATCTCCTCTGCCTGGGTATCCAATTTTCCAGCACTCTCTTTCTGCTGGGTGAGGTATGTCACATATTTAGGAGTCTTCTCCTTCAGCCACATAGTCTGTACATTGTCACACAACCAAAATTTCCCAGCACTGAAAATAATTCTCTTTCATATCGTAACGGCTTTAACTATACAAGCTAGAAGACTCAATGCGACACATACCTGAATCTGAGGTTAACCAAAAAGAGCCCATTTTTCTATAGGATGGTTAATGGTGATTTCTGTGCTGTAGACAGTAGATTAAAAGAAGTCTAAAAAAAGCCCAAGAATTCCTTTGGAATCATACCTTGCATAATATATGTGTTTGTCCTATATATATATTCTTATTCTACCCCATCTATACTTTAAATCTTATCCAAGGCAACATCATAACTCCCAAGGCAACCATACTCTTATCCCTGACTGTTGACAAGTCCTGCCCTACATTCTTAAGCTTTGTTTAAAAACGCCTATCTTCCCTGTATGAAAAGAAAAACAGCACACTTTTGTGAGCCGTTAATCATTCATGGAGTACCAGCACTGGGTTTTCACTTTCGCGAGGGGAGGATACACCTCTGGGTGGCTTGTGAAACTCCTTGGAGGGAAATGCACATTAGTATTTGTATCTTTAGCTCACAAACATAAATTTGTGGTGGATTAATGATTTAACAGTAAGACACAAAACTGTAAGTACACCAAAAGAAAATATAAGAAAATGGCTGCGCTTCCTTAGCGAATAATCTTAAGGCAAAACAGAATGAAGGAGCCACAAAGAAAAAGATTTATAACAACATATGGCACAAGCTACCATAAATGAACCTGTAAGACAAGAAAAAGAATAGGAACAGATATTTGCAACATACAGAGCAGAAGTAAGGGTTAATGCCCTGTACAAAGAACTCTGACAATTAAATAAGGAAAACTGCTATAGAGCACACACAATTAAAAAAAAAAAACACAAATTGATAATTAACATAAGAAAGAAAGTCCAACTCCATCAGTGACCAGAGAAAAGCAAATTAAAACAATGAGGTTCCATTTTGTCTATTTAATTGGAAACATTTTTTAAAGTATTTTTTTTTTAAGTTTATTTACTTTGAGAGAGAGTGAGAGCAAGGAAGGGGCAGAGAGAGAGGGAGAGAGAGAATTCCAAGCAGGCTCTGGGCTGACAGCACAGAGCCTGACACAGGGCTCGAACTCACAAACTATGAGATCCTGACCTGAGCTTGAAATCAAAAGCTGGACACTTAACCAACTGAACCACCCACGTGGTAAAAGATTGTTAATGCCCAATGGCAGATAAAGGGATAGTTTACAGTTGCTGGGAACGGACGGCAGTTGGTAGTATATTTTGTAGTAGCTATCAAAATCTAAGGTTTTCTACTTCTGGAGTTACTTGCACAAACACACAAGTATAGATGTAAAAAAAAAAACAACAGAGCACTATATTCATTAGTAAAAACGTAAAATAACTTCAAACGTCTAGGGAAGTAGCAACATAAATTCCAGTACAGACATACCGTAGTGGAACAGGCAATCATTAAACAGAACCAGGTGACTCTGTAATCTGATACTGAAGGAGATCTATTATATGCTGTTAAGGTAAGGAAAAGTTTCAGAAGATAGTTTGATACCGCTAAAAATTTGTATTTTTAAAGATTATTATTGTACACATAGAAAAGGTATGAAAAGACAACTGTGTAGAGTGATTACGTCTATGAAAGCAGTCCTTTAGGTTTTACTTTGCATGCTTATTATACATTACTAGACTAAATGCAACTTGTAACATGTAATTAAATCATCTTTTGATACAGAAAGTAAGAAATGGGGGGGAAGTGCCACCAGTCACTTTAAAGGACATGTCTGCTAATTACTGTAGTTACGTGCTTGTACATTCAATAGCCTGCACCTCAAATACTCTTATTTCTCACTTTTTTCCCATCAGTCATTAGTGTGCATGATGAACTGTACATATGTATACACCCAGGGATCCACCACCAAGATGAAAATACAGAGCATTTCTGAGCATTCCAAAAATCTCCCTCATGTGGCCCTACAATCAATACCCAACTTCCAAAGATAACCATTTTTCTAACTTCAATCACTAAATGATTTGTCAAGTTCACATAAAATAGCCATTTGTATAAAATGGCCACATATTTTCAAGAATGATTTGGTGGCTTAATGATGCCTTTGTTTTCCATCTAAAGATCTAGAAGGACCCTGAGTCTCCAACAGTAAGTGTCTGGGGATTAGATAAGACACTCAGGGGAACGGAACATGGAGAGGTACAATGGTCCCTTATTCTACGCTTCAGACTGCACGAGAAAAATCACAACTGAACTTTTAACAGTTTTCAATGCTCATCACACTTACACGGGTTGAGAGGATAAATGCTAAATTAATTCTAAAAGATTTAAATATTTTATGGTTACTGGAAACCCTTAAAGATAACAGATAGAATATTAAGACAATATGGAATTGAGTAGACAGGGAAAAATCCCTCATATTTAATGAACATCTAGGATAGAGCAGGATTTAGGGATGCCTTTTAGGTATATTATTTGCTAGGGACCAAGAAGGGAGTAATTTTATATTTGGCAACTGTTTGATAACAGCTACACCCAAACAACTGTGACAAAACATCCCCATCAATATTGCTACCTCAATTCTGTGGTGATGTCAAAACACCTGGACTCCCTCAGTGAATGATACCGTTACTATCTTACCAGCTGCCCAGACTTGTCTTAGACTCTAATCAACTGCTTAAAAACATGCTCTACTTTAGTTGTCCTCTTAACCATGACTTTTAACCATGATGTTCTCATATAGCTTTTAGGTTTTATCCCCCAGATTTTTAGTTGCCTTTGTTTTGTCTCCCATCTATTTCTTTCACCATTTTGATTCTTTCCCGTCCCACAGTTATGTCACTTACACTGAGTCATCCTGCATTTCATCACCCCAGAGACCTGCCTCCTAAGCTGTCACCTTCAGACTTCTCTTTTCCTGCTTTCCTAAGTTAAACCCATTATTTCTTCAATACTATGTCTTAGTTCACGCCTGCTGCACTGAATCATACTCATATGATTTCCCAAGAATGACTATGTGGATTGTAACTTTATTATGATCTCCTTCTTAACTTTATTTTATAAAAAGACCAAATTCAATGTTCGAAATCATTTTCCCTCGGACGTTCTCAAAGGACCCACTCCAGTGACCTGTAACATCAAGTGTCCTGAGTGAGAAACATCAATGATGCTATTTTATAGGCTCAAGGTGTTCTCTCCCAATGACCCCTTCCTCACACTCAACTCGTCTTTCCAAGCTTTACATCTTCATTTTGATACCTGTTAAATATTTTCCTACATTCACTGTGCTGGGCACTTTTTAAACTAAAGATCGGTATCTTTCAGCTCTGAGTAAATTCTCTTTTACTATCTTTATTTTCTCCAGGTTTTGCTTGTTTCTCTTCTGAAACCCTCATTAGTTGGAAACTGGACCTCCTGGATTGATTTTCTATTACCTTTTTCTCTCAAATTTTACTCATTTTGTTTCTATATTCTGGGAGTTTTTTTTTAAATCAATTTTATCTTTTAGTCCTTTCACGGAGGTTTCTAATGCAAGCAATTATACCTTTTACCTCTTTTCTGTCTTCTAATTCTTTCTTTTTCAAAGTACCTTATTCCTATTTTATGAATACATTATCTTCTCAGAGTTCTCCAAAACAGATAGATATGTTTATTTATAGAATTACTTCCGTTTCCTCTAGGATCCCCTTTTGACTTTAACGATTTTTTTCTGTGAAATTTAACATGTGCACAGATAAGCATATAAAACATAAGTGCTATGCTCATTATAGAGAACATGTATATAATTTCTACTCAGAAGAATGTCAGTAATCCAAAAGCCTTAAATGTATCCTTTCTCAATTACAATTCCCACATACTCAAAGGTAACCAATATCTTGACTTGTGGAGTAAACACTTGTTTTACATGGCTATCATCTAATAACCTCTCCCAACCACTACTATTTAGTTTTGTCTATTGACACATTTAACAAATGGTATCATAGACTCTCCTGCATCTGTCTTCTATATCTCAGTTAAGATTTAACCATGTTGTTGTATGTATGTGTTGCTGTTTGATATCTCACTGCACCAATCAATCATTATTTATTTATCTGTACTTAAGAATGAAGTTCTCAGTAGCTAGTGTGGGTTTTTCTCTACCAAACAAAAGGAACTCTCTCACTGAGCAGACTTATTGGTCACAAGGTCTCATTCTTGAGTGGGAATTCTGGCTAGACGCTTTCTGTGTAGGCTAAGTTGAGAAAAGGTGGGCTAAGTGCCAGGCTTTGCTTTAGAGTCATTATTTGTTGTGAAACTGGATCTGCTCAAATTTCAGAATAAAGGGAGGCTTTATTCTGGGGTATTAGCATCCATGTGGAAAATTTTACCTTTCTCCTCAATGAAATCATTCAATTTTTTTAAAAAGAGGTATTACAGGGTCACCTGGGTGGGTCAGTCAGTTGAGCGTCCAACTTCGGTTCATGTCATGATCTCACCATTGTGGGTTCAAGCCCCATGTCGGGCTCTGTGTTGACAGCTCAGAGCCTGGAGCTGCTTCAGATTCTGTGTCTCCTCTCTGTCCCTCCCTGACTTGTGCTCTGTGTCTCTGTCTCTCAAAAATAAACAAACATTAAAAAATTATTTAAAAAAAAGTCCTACATAGTTATGCCTACTATTAAATGTCAGAATGAGCTAGGGCATAAGAATTTCAAGTGGAGCCCTTGTCCCCAGTAACAACCTTGAA